CACCCTTCAACGTGCACACCCTCGCTGCCACATCAGGGGCTGGATTTTGCGTGTGGAGCACACGCACTGCTTCAGCCAGCATGGCCAGGGCGGCCACTACCATTACGACACAACACCGGCAAACGTCAAGTATGTTGGGTACTTCTCCGTCGCAGAGCACATCTATCGCGTGGACGCACCCAAAGTGACCCACCAAGTGAGTCTGCCTTCTGCCGTGATTCAACCTCAACAGGACTGTTGCGTCACCCCCCCCCCCAAACTACGCGTTGACAAGACGTCCAATGCAGCAACAGTTGGGGTTCCTTATCCAACTGACATGAATCATTGATGCTCACATTGCGTACACGCACAAACACCACACAAACGACACACGCAGATTGGGCGAGACTGAAGCGAGGCCAGCAGCACCTAGGACACAACACCGCGCCGCCACCAAATCCCACCAACACCACACCATGACACACGGGTCCGCTTGTTACTTTGGTGCTTGTGCAGACGCAGTTGTATTGTGTCCAAACACACAGTTACGTTACACGTGGTTCACTCAGAAACGAGAAAGAGAGCGACGGTTACGATAGTTATGAACGTACTCTCTGTGAGAAGACAAGGGGGAGGGAGAAGGAGAAGGAGGGAAGAGGGAGGAGGGAAGAGGGAGGAGGGAAGAGGGAGGAGGGAAGAGGAACTGCGCACACACGCACACACAAATGTACGCACACACACACACACAAATGTTCGAGTACAGATACACAAGCAAAACAACCACCAACTCAAACGCAAGACGACCATGAGGATGACAATTAAATATGGAGGCAGATGTAAAACAGCTTTGGGAAGGAAAGGTACGACGGGGAGGGAGAGGAGGGGGAGAAGGAAAACTCGTCAACTTACTTACGAATATACAAACTCTAACTAGTAGACGGACACATATGATGCGAACACAACAAGCACACACGCAACGGGAGAAGCGGACAGCAGGACGCCACACGCATGCACACCACCCTGCACACACGTCGTGGTGGTGGTGGTGGTTGTCAAGCACTGTTGCGTTACCTCCGACCAACAGCACACCATACAGATTCAAGGGTCTGCAGAGAACCGAGCTGCGCTGACAACGAGGCGGCTCAGCATATCCTCCACCTGACCGTGTGGGGAGCGCAAACTAGCTTCTTGTTGCGATTGCTGGTCTTGTTGCTGTGGTTGAAGGTGGTAGTGGCGAGACCGCTGACGCTGGTGCTGGTGCTGGTGCTGGTGCTGTTCCTCCAGCAGCTTTTTCTTGCGGTTGCGCCGGTGACCACGGCAGCCACGCCGGGTCTTCTTCTTCTTGATGCCGCACACCTCAGCGCACATCCAGGACGGAAGCGCGTGCTTGATTTCGTTGGTCGACAGCATGGTGGGCTCAATGTCGTCGTTTGAGTCAGCGGGGCTTGAGGCGCCCTCTCGCTCCTCGCCGTCCTCAGCAGGCGCACCATCGTGTTCGTCGCTGCTCTCCCCACTGAGCTGGTGCCGCCTGGGTGGCAGGGCGGGCGACGTTACAGCAGCAGCGGCGCTGGCGGCGTTGTTGCTGCCGGCCACCTTTGGCGCCTTGCTGTTGTTTGTGGTGCTGCTGTTGGTGCTGGTGCTGCTGCGCTTTGAACGCTGCCTGGTCGGGTTGGGTGCAGCGGCAGGCGTGGATGGAGGCACCGGCGCACCTGTGGGAACAAAGCCGCTCGCAGGCCCGACGTGTGCAGTGGTGGGCAGAAACCGCGAGCCAGCCATGTGCTGCTGCTGCTGGTGTTCCTGCTGCTGCTGGTGTGGGTGGGTCGCCACACCTGTGAGAAGCAGCGGGAAGTTGGGGACGGGGCTGGGCACTGCCACGAGCTGCGCCGCGGAAGCAGCAGCCCGCATGGGATGGGGATGAAGGTGGGGATGGTAGGGTGGCTGTTGTTGCTGGGGACGGTAGGCCTGGGCGAGGTGGTGGGCCGGAAAGCCCGGGACGGGCGTGGGCGCCGCCATGAGATGCCGTTGGTGCGGCTGTTGGCGGTATGGGTGCAGGTGCACTGCGGTGTTGTCCGGCGAGCCGAGCAGGGTTGTTGGGGTTCCAAACCCACTGTCGAGGGAACTGCATCGTGTGTGGCGGCTGTGTGGGCCTGCCTTGTTGGTGCCGCCGCGGTTTTTGCGGCTGCGTCGGTTCCTCGTGGCACCAGGCTTGGTGCTGCCCCCAGCCTTCCGGCCAGCGGTGTTGCTGGTGTTGTTGGTGTTGCTGGATGGCGACCGCTGCTGGCTGTGGCGGCGGGCGTGGGTGGCTGGGGCGGTCGAGTCGCCGAGAAGCGCCTGCGGGTGGCTGAGCAGGGGCGGGCGCATGGACGACGAGCCGCTCGCGGCTGTACACAGACTCGCACCTGCTGCCACAGCTGGGAACAGGGCCCCAACAAGTGCGGAGGTCGATGGAGCAGAGGCATGAGGGCAGGGCTGCAAGTCATCTTCTTCAGTGTCGCTGACAGACGCGCTCGAGCTGCTGCTGCCGCTGCTGCTGCGACTGCTGCTGCGGCAGCTTGCGTCGTCAACGTCGTCGTCATCGTCGGCGTCGCTGTGGCCGCGGGTGGCGCGTCGAGTCTCTGGGCCGCTGTGCAGGTCTTCTTCCTCCAGGTTGATGCTCTCGATGGAGTGGTTGCGGCACCGGCGGTGGCGACGAAGCAAGGGGGAGAAGGAGAATACTGCGTCGCCAAAGCATGCGCGCGCTGACGCCGAGGAGGAGTTTGAGGTTGAGGTTGAAGATGCGGGCGAAGAGGATGATGACGAGCATGACGAGGATGATGGCTGTGAGGGGGCCACAGCGCTGTCGGCATCGTCGTCGCTGTTCTGTGGCCCGCGCAGGGAGATAAACTCGGCGGGTGATGAGGCTCGGCTCGATCCGTGCTCGACCCGTGTTGATGATGGTGTTGGTTAGTGTCAAAGTGGCCGGAGATGGCGTCGAGAATGCTGGTGGGGGACGTCAATCCCGGCAGGGGATGCATGGCCGAATCAGATCGGTCTATGGCATTCAAGCCAGGCTTCATCGCCTGCCTGTTGTTGTTGTTGTTGTTGTTGTTGCTTTTGAGTGCGACAAGGTCTCGGTCATCGTCGTAGGATGGTGGTTGCCATGTGTCGAGGGCAGCCATGTTGATGTCGTCCACGTCAATGTGGAGGGCGTAGGATGGCTGAGCCGCGGAGCTGGCTTGAGGATTTGGGGCCGTTGAGCGAGGCTGACCTTGCAGGTGCAAGCCTGTGATGCCTGCGAGCACACTCATGTTGTGAGTGCAAGGATGGGGGGGGGGGAGGGGGGAGAAGAGAGCAGTTGGTGGTGGTGGTGGTGGTGGTGGTGGTGGTGTTGGTGTTTAACTAAGGCTCTCGACACAGGTGGATGGATGGCTCGAGGCGTTGCAGGTGTGTGGCGTGGACTGGTGGTGGTGTGGTGCGAGCGCGCGGAATGGATGGGGGATGACTACGACCGATCGATAATCGCCACCACACGCACGGCATACAGAATGCCTTTTGATGCAGCAAGCATAGAAGAAAAAGCAGGTAGGATGGAATGTGTGTGGGAACGTGTGTGTGGAATGTTGGGTCTTGTGGGAAGCGATGAATGGTGCTGTGTGCACGACGCGCATACCACGAAAACTGTTTCCTCACCGTGGCTGATGTCGTTGCTGGCGTTCGTGGTCGCCGTTGTTGTTGTTGTGGGAAGGGCAACAACAACGCGGGAACAGTATGCGGTGGAAAGAACAGATACGAGGAGAGAAAAAGCGGAAACTCACGCAGTGTGGTGGTGGTTGTGGTTTGGCCGTTGAGGCACCGCTGTCAGTAGTGAAGAAGCAAAGAAGAAGAGAGGAGAGAAGGGAACAACAGTCGCTAGTCACTGCTTGTGTGTTGCTTCTCGCCTGGAATTTGCAGGGTTCAAAGCCAAACACCTGACCAGTCCAAGCAAGCAGACAGTTGCCGCAGTGTGGGGGTATGTGTGTGTTGGTTTGTGGCGTGGGGGAGGTGCGGCTTGTTTGTTCGTTTGTGTGTGTGCAGGTTGGCGATTTTCCGCAGGCAAAAAAGAAGGGCAGGCATGAACACGCACGCAAGCAAGCACAAAGGCGTGTGGGCACAAGCACAGAGACGGCGAAAAACGGTTATTCTTCGTGCGTCATTCAAACCGTGTGCGGCTGAACCCGCACAAACATGCAGCACAACGGGCCTGCGAACGCAACCGGACGCCAGAGGAAATATGGTTGAAGATATGTACAATACGGCAATTTTGATAATTTTCCGGGGACGTACCACTCTGTTCCGTTGCGGGAACTCTCAACGTTTTCTCAACTACAATTTATCACGTCGCAGAACTTTCCGCACTTGATCGATCGAGGCAAGGAGGAGGATCGAGCGCACACGTTTGCACCAACAACACACGAACACACACACACACACACGAACACACACACACACACACACACACCACACAAGTACACACACACACACACACACACACCACACACACACACACACTCATTGCTGGTCTTGCTGCTGGTCGTCTGCTTCGAGGAAGGAGGTGAGGTCTTCGGGTGAGCCATGTCTCCAGGTGGACAGCCATTGCTCAACCTCGCGCACAGCATCCATCGACATGATCAGCGTCGGGTGGTTCAACATATCATACACATTAATGTCTGTGATGTCGTCGTGTGCAGGGGTATGCGAGAGTCAGGGGTGGAGGAAAAGAAAGAAAAGGGTGAGGTTGGCGATTTCTTTGCTGAAGAGAAAGGTGGCAGCACCACACACTGACAATTTGGGGTGGGCGAGTAGGGGGGGGGGCATTGCTTCCCGTCTCACTCTCACTCTCACTCACACGCACTGTTGTCGAGCTCTCTCTCTCACTCACACACACACACACGCTCACACACACACACACACGCTCACACACACACACACACACACACAAGGTGTAGCGGCGTACCTCGCTGGGGCATCACGGTCACGTCGTCAAGCCCCTCTGCAGCTGCGCTCAGGTTTGGCGGCAACGAGTTTCTGAACAGGGAACGCAGAGCAACAAGGGGGAGAGGGATGCGAAAGAAAAAGAGAACGAAGAAGAGGAAGGCGGGAACGAGGCACAGGTGCACGGTCAACTGACGTATTGAGGCCCGAAAACAGCAAACACAAACAAACAAAGCAAGCGAACAAACAAGCACAAACAAGCAAACAAAGCGACCGGAAGTACACACACACATAAACACACACACGCACACACACACACATAAACACACGCACGCACACACACACACACACACACGCACGCTAACAATCAAGACTTTGCCGGTGATGGCATGCGCTTGCAGAGCCTCCAGCAAATCCTGACGAGAATAGAGCCTCCAGCAAATCCTGACGAGAATAAATCAACAGCGGGGGAGGGGGAGGGTTGGAATCGCTTGGTGTGCACACATGCTGGCGGAGGTACACGAGCATTCAGTGCAGGTGCACGAACGTTCAGCACACACACACACACACACACACACACACACACACACACACACACACAGACCCACACAGAGTACTGCTCCCGCCGGCATCACCTCTTCGTTTGAGGAAGGGAGGTTGAGCGAATCCACAATGAGGAGGTCGTTCTGCGCCAGTTTCGCCGAGAGGGCGACGCGGACACCCATCCTACAGCAGACACACAACACAACACAACACAACACAACACAACACAACACAACACAACACAACACACACATATGCAAGGCCAAGTTGTCAGTGAGCGCAGGCGCAGAACTGAACGCAGAGTTGTTGGATCTGGGCTATCAAGCCCATCCGTTGCAAATGCGCCAATACGCACGCACGTACACGCGCACGCACACGCGCACGCACACGCACACGCGCACACACACACACACACACACGCACGCACGCACAGCATTGGTGTCTCACCGCTGGACTTTCTTGGGCAGCTTGATTGACCAGTCCTTAGGGGTTGGGCCGTGCACCGTGCCACCTACATGCAACGAGACACAGGTGAACGAAAAAAGTAAACACACAAGCGTTGCACCATCGCACAGAAAGGTGCACACATTTGTTCACAAGCAGATACATACACACGCACACACACATGTACACACATGTACACACATGCATGCATACACACACATGCATACATACATGCACACGCACACTTGCAAACGACTGACCGCCTCGGAAGAGAGGAGAGCGAATGCTGCTGGCACGTGCGCGTCCAGTGCCCTTCTGTTGCCACGGTTTCCTGATCACAGCCACCACAAGTACAGCCACGCACACACGTGTGAGAAGCAACCAAACAACCAGCACCACGCACGGTGTGCAACAAAGAAGGGACTGGCGAGCGCGAAGAACAAAAAGCATAAAGACGTCGCGTGACTGCATGTATGCAGCGTCGCTGACTCACTTTCCGCCACCGCGCACTTCACTCCGTGTCTTTGTCTTGGCAGTACCCTGTGCACACGAGCGAGTGCACCAAAGCGCAAGCGACACATCAGCACTCGCCATAGTGTACCATCATGCACACACACACACACACACGCAGCCACCGTACTATCGTGCGCAAAGATAGCACAACATATCACACATCCCAGACACATGCAGGCACAAACATTCATGTACAGCCACACACCAGAAACACACACACGCAACCACAAAGATACACCATGCTACAGACACACACACATGCCATGCTACACACCATGCCACACACACACGCACACCCTTCCTTACCGCTCTCCAGGATGCGCGCTGAAACACGACGACGCGCTGCAAGATGTCTTTTCTTAGATCTTCGCCAAACACTGTTGGGTCAAGCTCCATCATACCCACCTGTGGCACGACAAAGAAGGAAACCAGCAGTGCACACCAAAGTACATCGCATGACAGAAGCACACACACACAGACAAACAGACACACAGACACACAGACACACAAGAGGCAGGAACGCTGTCAGCGTCGAAGGCACACATCGCCACATGGGCAACCACACACAGCCAGGAACAGAAACAGACAGCAGGGGGAGGTGGTGGATATGCTCCTGCAGCCGACGCATGTACAGGCTCCCCCCCTCAACATACACTTCCACACAGCAACAACGCACCCGGTAGGCGGCTGGCAGCGATGTGACCCATGCTTGCAGAGGGGTTGTTGGTTGTGGCTTCTTGGGGAGGGGCCCGCCCAACGGGCTAGACACGCGCGTGCTGACCATAAGTGGGCGGCACGCATGTCCCATTACCGTCGCCGGCAGTGGGGTTCGCTGTGCAGTGGCCACCGCAGCGGCTGTCACTCGTGCACTGCTGCACCGTGCGCTGCGCACCAACACGCTGCCCAGCATCATCATCGTGCTCCTCGAGAGGTGGTTGTGGAGGATTATGTGTGTCACAGTGATATTTCTTGGACGGCGGATATTATGGCCTTCCTCGACTCTGCTTGGTGTGTGTGTGTGTGTGTGTGTGTGTGTGTGTGTGTGTGTGTGTGTGTGTGTGTGTGTGTGTGTGTGTGTGTGTGTGTGTGTGTGTCTGCATTCTCACTTCGCTTGCTTCTTGTCGTTCTTTCCTCAGTCTCCCTCAGTCTCCCTCAGTCTCCCTCAGCCTCCCTCAGCCTCGCTCAGTCTCGCCTCCGCGCTCTGCCCTGCTCTCCTTGCCTGGAGTTCGCTCTCACATGGCCGTCGTCGTGCCTTGTTCTCGACTCGCACTTGTTGTTTTGTCTGGCGTCACAGGCACGTACGCGAGGACGCGGTCACTAAACTGGGCATCAAGACCCTTAACGATGCCCTGAACACAGACTTGAAGAAGTTTGGCGCAGAGGTACGACTTGTTGGCTTGCAGATGGTCATACAACGGAGTGCATTTTGTTGCCATCAATCAACTACCTCGCACACACACCACACACACATGCAGGCACAGAGGTGCAGCTACTGTGTGCCTCCGTGCTCCCTTACCACCTCACCACCACCACCACCACCACCACCCCACCACCACCACCACCACCACCACCACCACCACCCCACCACCACCACCTCAACCACCACCCCCCACCACCACCACCACAAATGAATCTGATGACGATGACTCTGTAGGTTCTTCCTCCAAAGTGTGACAGCGGCCAAGTCCAATCCCTTCCAGGACCTCTTGTCTTACAGGTTGTGAGCGTTCGCAACATTGCTGCACCCAGCCATGACCCAAGCAATCAGGGAGCACCTCGGATGCTCATGGTGCGGCTGACAGACGGCCACACGAAAGCAACCGCCCTTGAACTGCAACACCACCCGCGGCTCTCCCAGGACACGGCGCCCGGCACCAAAATCATGTTTCCCGCCAACACCATCCAGTTGGACAACGGCTTCATTACACTGACCCCTGGGACGGCAAAGGTGCTCGGCGGCAAAGTGACAGACCTGTACGAGCGTTGGAAACTGCAGCGGGACATGCGCGCCGCTGGCGCTCGTCTTGACACCACAGGCATGCGCTCTGGCCGCCCCACTTTCCGCCCGTTCTCTGCGGTATGGTGCATGCACATGCGTGTGCACGCATGCGTGGGAATATTCCTGCGTACTCGTGCGTACTCGTGCGTACTCGTGCGTGTTCGTGAATGTGTGCAGCCGTGCATGTGTGTTCGTGTGTGCGTGTGTGTACATCTCTCACTTCACTTCACGTCATGTCATAACGTGCTCCCTTTCTGACTCAACCCCCTCACCCCCCCTCACCCTCGGCGCAACTACCACCACCAGGCTGCAGTTCAGGAGGCACGGCAGCGAAAACAGCGAGGCGAGTCAGCACCGCCACCGCCGCCATCATCGTCCAACCGCGACGCCAGCCCGCCAGCCCGCGAGAAGCTCAAGACAGACACGACGCTCGCTGCCTTCCATGCTCGCAGCAGCGGTGCACAGCAGCAGGAGGTCAAGCAGGCGCTTGTCGACCGCTCCCGGCGGCAACATGAGGAGAGGCGCGCTGAGCGGCGAGCACGGCGTGGACGGCGTGGGCGCGGTGCATACGATGACGACGAGGATGACGGGCTCATGAGTTTGGAGGAGTATCAGCGGAGGCAGCAGCAGCAGGGTGGTGGTGGTGGTGGCGTCACTACCACTGGCACGGGCAGCGTTGGCAGTCACGCCAAACCCTCCCAAGCAGCGCGGGCGCTGTCGCCATCATCGCCATCGCAGGCACACGGTCGCGGTACTGGCGGTGGTGTTGCTGCGTCGCCGGATCTCGTGGCGATGCTGGCGGAGATGGGCTTTGAGCTGCCGGCCGCCACGCGCGCGCTGCAGGCAACCAGCAATGACATCGAAGCAGCCATTTCGCGCCTCACCGCCTCCCCAAGCGCCGCACCGCAGCCACAGCCATCGCCATCATCGTCAGTGTCGTCGTCGCCGCATCGAGGACGTCAGCACGGTCGCGGCGGCGGCGCGGGATACGGGCAGCGCGATGGCCGCGGTGGACGCACGGGCCGATATGGCGGCAGCAGCGACGACGACAGCAGCAGCAGGACAGGCGGTGATGGACGGCGTGGTCGTGGCGGTGGCGATGGTCGACGGGAGCACCAGGCGCCGCACCAGCGCGGATATCGTGATGGTGGTGGTGGTCGTGAGGATGGTGATGGGTATGGTGGTGGACGAGGGTGCGGTCCTGGGAGAAGAGATGAAGCGCCAGCGCGGCGCGGGAGGGGCAGTGGTGACAGTGGTGATGGTCGCCACATGGGTGCACGCAACGTGAGGAGTGAGCGGCCACGCGGCAACGACGGCGGTGTGCCCCGGCGCAGAGAGCAACAGCAACAGCAGCCAAGGCAGCAACCACCAAAGCAGCCACCAAAGCAGCAGCCACAGCAACAGCCAAGGCAGCAGCAACAACAACAGCCAAAGCAACAACAGCAACCAAGGCAGCAGCAACAGCAGCCAAGGCAACAGCAACAGCCACCAAAGCAGCAGCAACAGCAGCAGCCAAAGCAGCAACAACAGCCACCAAAGCAGCAACAACAGCAGCCAAAGCAGCAACAACAGCAGCAATCGAGGCAGCAGAATCGAAGTGAGCTGGGTGTTGGGTCGGCGTGCGATGCGCTTTTCTATGACGATGGGCTGGTGTATCCTGCACAAGTGGTGAACATCAACCCAGCAGGGGACGTGCTGGTGCAGTTTGAGTACTACAACAACGTGCAGTGGACACAGGCTGGCCACATCTTCCCACGCCAGCCGCAGCCGCCACAGCTGATGATGCCGCAACAGCAGCAGCAGCAGCCACAGCAGCAGTCACAGCAGTCACAGAAACAACCAAAGCAGTCACAGAGACAACCAAAGCAGTCACAGAGACAACAGCGGCAGGAGAAGGGCGCCAGGACGACTGGCGGAGGATCGAGGTTTCGCAAGGGCGACGCGTGTCTCATCTCCTTTGAGGGCAGCACTTGCAAGGCAACGCTCACGTCTGAACCAAAGGCCGGTGCGTACACCGTAATGGCATGTCTGCGCTGTGGTGTGGACGTTTGTGATGCAATTTGCACAGTGTGTGTGTGTGTGTGCTCTCCTTGCTGAACTTGCCTCGAGTTCTTGTTTACTGACTTGCGTGCGCGTGCTCACCACTTGTTTCATTCGTGTGGGTTATACGTCGTACCAGGGCACTGCTTTGTGCTCATTCAAGGCCACGAACGGAAAGGCGGGCAGCGCGTGCCAGTCAACCAATTGCAGCCCATGCCATAAAGTGTTGTGGGTGTGATGTTGTGTGCTGTGATGTTGTGTGGTCTTGTCATTGAGAATGCTCGATGTCTTCCTTGTGTGGCATGTGTTTGTATATGTGCACGACTGGTCCTGAACATTGAAGTGAACTGGAAGCGGAAGCGAGCAGAAGAGAACATGCAAGCACACACACACACACCAAAAGCAGAAGAGAACATGCAAGCACACACACACACGCACACACACACACACAGAAGAAGTGAAGCAACTTTCCGTTTTCTGCTTTTGCGTTGTTGGCAAAGACACAACAACCACGAAGGCACTTCACACAGACTTCACATCACACGTCACAGCTGCACTCGCTCGCCTTGACGAAGGCCACGATGTTCGCGTCGCTCAAGTCTCTGTTGTCTGGTGCTGGGGATCCCAACTTCCCCTTCTCGCCCGGTGACGTGACCGACGCTGCCACAGAGAGCCGGCTATGGACAATGCGGCGCGGTACAGGCAAGGTATGCAGGCCACTGTGCTGTTTTGTGTGTGTGTGTGTGCTTTGTGTGTGCTTGTGTGTGTGTGTGTGTGTGTGTGTGTGTGTGTGTGTGTGTGTGTGTGTGTGTGTGTGCTTGTGTGTGCTTGTGTGTGCTTGTGTGTGCTTGTGTGTGTGTGTGTGTGTGTGTGTGTGTGTGTGTGTGTGTGTGTGTGTGTCTGTCCTTTCTTCCCCGTCTCCCCGTCTCCCCGTCTCCCCGTCTCCCCGTCTCTCCGTCTCTCCGTCTCCCCGTCTCTCCGTCTCTCCGTCTCTCCGTCTCTCCGTCTCCCCGTGTCCTCGTGCCGCTGTGTCTCCGTGTCAACCTCCTCACCTTTTCCTCTTTGGTGCGCGCAGGATGGGAAGGAGGTGACCATCTTCGAGTTGAACAAGAAGACCGCAACAGAGGAGCAGGTCTGTACACATGCGCATGCGCTGGTGAGGGCCGACCACAGGCACAGACCACACTCGGTTTGCATCATTGCCGTCGCTACGGCTCACTATGCGCGATGCACACCACCATGATGTACTGCTTGATGTGTGCGTGCCCGGCTGCAGGTGAAAGCGGCACAGCACGCTGTAAAGCGCCTGAAGACTGTCCGGCACCCCAACGTGCTGACCTACCTCGGCGCTACAGAAGTGTGTGTGTATGTGTGTGCATGTGTGTGTGTGTATGTGTGTGTGTATGTGTATGCTTGTGTGTGTATGTGTGTGTGTGTGTGTCGTGTGTTGTTGGGTGACACGTGCAAAGACAAGCGTGTACGAACACGTTGCACCCCGTATCGTGCACCAGCACGGACACTCACACACATTCTCTTCTTGGGCAGACGGAGGCAGCGGTTCTGTTGGCGACGGAAGCGGTCACCCCCTTATCCAAGGCGTTGGCAGAGGAAGACAACGAGCAGGGAAAGTCGTGGGGACTCTTCCAAATCCTGGTATGTGTCGTGCAGCACACACACACATGCCTACTTCGTGATCCTCGCAGTCAGCAGCTGGTCCAATCTGTGCTGGTGCCGCGAAGCTGTCACGAACCACTCCTCACACATGCGCACATATGTGCACATACATACATGCAACAGAGTGCGATTGCATTCCTCTCAGAGAGCAAGCTTGTGCATCGAAACTTGTGCTTGGATGCAGTGTTTGTCAACCAAGAAGGCGACTGGAAGCTGGTATGCGCGTGTGTGCGCGTGTGTGCGTGTATTTGCGTGCGTGTGTGTTTGTGTGTGTGTATGTGTGTGAATGTGTGTGTGTGCATGAATGGCTGACTGTACGGCGTGTTCTGGCGTGCGGAGTTGATTGCCATCTTGTTGCCTGTTCACCTGCAACACCAACAGGCCGGATTTGAGCGCCTCGCACCGTCAGGCACCAACGTCAACGACCTGGTAACCCCAAAACAACAACAGTGTGCAGTGCCCATAACACCGCCCGTGCATTGCATCGCATCCCACAAACACTTGCGCATGCACACTTGTGTACACGCTCACATATTGACATCACACACACACAATTATATCTTCACACACACGCACACACACACACACACACTGCATGCGTGCACTTGCAGCCGCTGCCTGTCGCCGAGCAGTACAAGTGCCCCGAGGATCTCAAGGGCCAGTCTGGCCGCGGCCATCCATGGTGCAAAAAGCGAGAGGGGAGGCCGGGCGAGGGGTGCGGGAGTTCATATCTGTGTGTCGTGTGCGTATGTCGTGTGCGTATGTCGTGTGCGTGTATGTGTGCGTGCGTATGTCGTGTGCGTATGTCGTGTGCGTGTATGTGTGCGTGCGTATGTCGTGTGCGTACGTGCGTGTGTGCATGTTGTGTGGCTTGCACGTTGCTTGTATGTGGGTGTGACACATGCCTGTGGCTGCATCCACACTTGTGTCTGGTGCGTGTGTGTGTGCATGGGTGAGTGGAGCAGCGTTCCCCCGGCATCGTGCTGCATACACTCTGCTCACGATGATTGCTGTGTTGCTGGCTGGATGGCCAGGTCTGCGGACATGTGGGGGTTTGGATGCCTCATCTGGGAGGTGCACAGCGGACGATTGAACGATGCGACGCAGCTCAAGAACGTGGACGATCTTCCTCGCTCCATCATCCCTCACTACGTCTCTCTCGTCAGGTGTGTGTGTGTGTGTCTAGGTGTGTCATGGGCCGTCTGGTTGGGGAGCACCGCCTGTGTTGTACGCCAATGTTTCGTTGGCATTGTTACATTGCTTGTTGTTGTTTGTCAAATCACCTCTTGCGGTCAAGCCCCACCCCCAATGTCACCCACACCCACCATGCTTCATCCCCAACCGCCTCATGCGACCGACTACCCGCGCATTTGCTTACTTGCTTCCTCGCCTGCATTCCATCGTGGCAGTGCCAATCCCCGCCAGCGCCCAAAGCCGGCGGTCCTGCTGAAGGAAGCGCGAGAGCCAGGCTCCTTCTTCAAGAACGACTTTGTTGACACCAACCTCTTCCTCGGCGAACTGGCAGTCAAGGACAAGGAGCAAGTGCAGTCCTTCTATCAGCGCCTCCCCGACGTGAGCATGCGTGCATTGTGTGTGTGTGCATTGTGTGTGCCGCGTGTGTGTATGCTCGTGTGTGTATGTACCTGCATGTGTGTGCATGTGTGTGTGTGTGCATGCATTGTGTGTGTTGTGTGTATGTGAGTGTGCGTATGTGTGCGCATTGTGAGTGAGTGAGTGTGTGTGTGTGTGTGTGTGACTGGCCGTAAGTTATGTTCAATCGTGTTGTGTGATTCACCAGCCCCTTCTATTTGATCTTGAGTTCAGATGATTGATGACTTCCCTCCATCGCTGTGCAAGACAAAGCTGCTGCCACAACTCTTGCAAGCATTCCAGTACGGCGGCGCCGGCAAGTACCACACACACACACACATACACACACATACACATACACACACACACACACACACACACACACACACACAGAGTCCGACCGCTGACACCATGTGAATACAATGCAGTCTGCGTTCGTTCCAACTGACCAAGAGCGCCCACACGCGTGCGTGTTTGCTTCAACGCGCCTGTTGTCGTTGCTGTCGCCATGGCTGTGAATGAATGCAGGTTATCAGGTGTTGGCGCCCATGCTCAAGATTGGGAAAATGCTCGACGCAGAGGAGTACCAGGTACTCGCATGCACGTGTGTGTGTACCTGTGCGTGATTCTGTACGCATTGTGCGTTCATATGCATGGTCTTTGCTACCATGATGGCTGATCACCACAAGCCGCAACCATCCATACACACACACACACGCCCCTGCTCACCACATGCGCATCATCGCCCCCTCTGTCCCTCGGTCCATATTGACAGCAACGGATCGTGCCGAGTCTCGTGCAGCTGTTCGGCTCGCCCGACCGCGCCACACGCATCTCGCTCCTGAAGAAGCTGCCAGACTTTATTCAGTACCTCTCCAACCAAGGTACCCGCACGCTGTCGTGTTGGGCGCATGTGTTGTTCTCGCTTGTGAGAGGGAGCGAGGTGCCACGCAGACGCGGCGGGAAACAGTCCTGGAGACAGACAAGGCATGCATATCGCACCTTTGTCCCCGCTGGTTCTGCGCTGGTTGTCAACTCAAGCGAGCAGGGAACTGATTGACTCTCGATTCACAACACCTTCTTGCATGTCGTCCACTTGCCGCGTGCGGTTTGTTGTCGCAAACCACCATCGTGATGACCACAAATGCAGTTGTTTCAAAGGACATTTTCCCGCCTGTTGCCAACGGGTTCAACGACACCGTCCCCGCAGTGCGAGAAGAGGTGCGTTGTACAGGCAAATTGTGGGTGTGCGTATGTGTGTATGTTGTGTTCATGAATGTGTGCGTGTGTGTATCTGTGCGCATAATGTGTGTATCTGTGTGCATGTTGTTGAGCTTCAGCTTGATGCCATTTGCTTTTTCTACAACCAGCGCACCCTCACGCCATACACGTGCACGCGGGCACACCCTCACGCCATACACGTGCACGCGGGCAGACGGTGAAATCGATGCTGCTGCTGGCGCCCAAGCTGTCGCCATCCATTCTGGACGGTTCGCTCTGTGTGTGTGTGCGTGTATGTGTGTGTATGCGTGTATGCTTGTATGTGTGTGTATGCGTGTATGCGTGTGTGTGTGCATACGTGTATGCGTGTATGCGTGTGTGTCTGTCTGTGAACGTTTGCATGGACAGCTTCATGCACTGGTGGTGTTGCGTTCACTCTCTCAAACGACACGCGGCATTGGAGTTGCATCAGCAGTAATCTCACTTCGCACGCATGGCATGCTTCTCGCGTGCTTGTGTTGATGTGTTCAGGCGGACGAACGCCCCTCCATCCGCACCAACACGACCATCTGTCTTGGCAAAATCGCACCGCACCTCAGCCCGGCCACGCGCGCGAAAGTTCTAGTCCCAGCGTTCCTCAGGGTCAGCGGCGTGTGTCTTTTGCTTCGCTTTGTTTTGTTTTGCGTGTGTGTTTGTGGGCGCGTGTGTAGATACCCACGTGTGCACACACACCAATGACTGCTTGTTGACGATCATCAAAACCTCATTGCACTTCCTGCACACACACACACACACACACACACACACACACACACACACACTGACGGCGCACGAGCAGGCGCTGAAGGATCCATTTGTACACACGCGCGCTGCGGGTGTGATGGCGCTGCTGGCGACTGTTGAGTTTTATTCGCCCAAAGTGTGCGCGGGCCGCATCTTGCCCACCGTCGCCCCGCTTGCAGTCGACCAGGCAGGCGCCGTCAGAACACAAGGTGTGGTGTGGTGTGGTGTGGTGTGGTTTTGGATGGAACAATTCTTGTTTGAGTTGTGATGCATGCGTACATGAGCGCGCGCTTTTGGTGCTGCATGTGTGCATGTGTGTGTGTGTGTGGGTTGAGCAGTTACATTTCCTCGACACCACCGCTGACATTGCGTTCACGGCCACGTCGGCATGTCGTCTGCAGTGTTGCGACTGATCCGCACGCTTGTGGACCGTCTTGAAGAGAACAGCAAAACCCTCGCCAAGGTCAGTCAGCACTTGACACACATATCACACACATTGCCCATCACACACTTGCACACACTGTGCCTAGCTTCACGTGAGTGCTCATATGTTACGTGTCGGTAATTCAACTCGGGTGTGGCTTGCAGGAGGAAGAACAGCAGAAACAACAACAACAACAACAACAACAACAACAACAACAACAACAACAACAACAACAGCAGCAGGACACCCAGCAGGGCGGTCAAGGTCAGCCCGGTGAACAGCAGCATCTTGCCAAGGGCGCGCAGGCGATGTTTGGCTGGGCAAGCACAGCTGTTGGTGGCCTGGCAAAGCAAGCACTCTCTGGCCGAGGTGAGAGGGGAGCAGCAACAACAGCAGCAACAACAGCAGCAACAGCAACAGCGAGCAGGGGCACAGGCGCTGTGCAGGGGTCACAAGAGCGCGGGCTTGGTGCTGATGAGGATGAAGATGAGGATGACGAATGGCACGACTGCGTGGAGCCGCCGTCTCGCTTGGATGTGCGTATCACACGACTTTGGCTGCGGAAGAAGTGGAGAGGGGATCGTTTTGATGGTGGTGGTGGCAGTGGTGGGTGGTGGTGGTGGTGGGTGCTGACTGATGCTTTAGAAGTGATGGTCCGATGATGCCTCGTTGTTCATGCGCGAACATACATGCAGTTACGTCACGTCTTACACTCACATCACACGCACCCCCTCCCCCCAACACACACACACACACACACACACACACACACGCGCGCGCGCGCCACGGCCTAGGTGATGCCTGCTGTTGGAGAGGAGCAAGGCAGTGATGGGTGGGGTGATGACGACAATTGGAGTGACATTGATGGCGGTGACGCTGATGATGATGGTGATGGTGATGGTGTTGGCGGTTTGAAGAATTCTCAATCGACACAGCACACGTCCTTGCACATGGCCCGCGCCGCCAACGACGATGCTGATGGGTGGGGTGACGACGGAGATGGGTGGGGTGATGATGACGATGACAATAGCGGATGGGACGCCATGGAGAACGACGATGACGACGACGGCAGTGATGCGGAAGCGCAGCGCCGGGAGCTTGAGCGCCAGGCCGCCGCTGAACGGCGCGCGCAGGAAAGGGAGCGCAGACGGCAGGAACGACTGCAGGCGCGGCAGGCCAAGTTGTCGTCAGGCACAGCAGGGGCAGGCGATCGTGGTGGCAGCGGTGGCGGTGGCGGCGGCGGTGGCGGTGCGATGAAGCTGACCCGCAAGAAGAAAGGCCTTGGCGCCGTCAAGAAGGTGGACTAGCGAGCAAGCAACGAAGATCAGAGCAAGTGGACATAAACGGCAACCCTTGCGTGTGTGCGTGTGTACATGTGCGACACATGTGTGTGTGTGTGTGTTTGTGGACTGTGGCTTCACATCAACAGTAAATGCATAGTCAGCAGCAGCAGCAGCAGCAGCAGCAGCGAGCGGTTGCAGTGGAGCGCTCCACGCGAGTCCACACACCTGTCACAACCCCACCCTTCGCCCAACAAGCGCATTGTACCGAATATTAGTTGAAATCATTGGTGAACATTCGCTTGTTTACATTTTGCACGCTGCTCCAGCTGGCTGAATTGCGCGGAAACACACCAGAAGAAGCAAAGAAGAAAAAAACCGTTCTTGCGCCGTGTTGTGCGTGCTGTGCGTTGCTGGGTGTGTGTTTGATCTCAGCCCCGCACTGCTTACCGGTGTGCGTGTGCGTGTTATTTTTCCTCGCACCCGCCACTCCCTCGCGCTCTCTCTTTCCCGTGCCTCATCTGCACGTTCCCGTGTGAGTGTCTACTTCTTACCTGCTCCACGACCCAACAAAGCAAAAGAGCAAACGCTGCATCGCTCTCTTTGAAGAAGCAACAAGCAAGCGTGAGTTTGCCCTATTTTTCTTTCTTCTTGAAGTCTTTCGGGTGGATTGCGTAGCTGTGTTTGAGCACCTCTCCATATCTGCTGGTGCTGGCTGCTGTGGCAGTTGTGTTTGTTTGTATTCGCGTGCATGGTTCAACCAACACTCCATCTCATCCCTCCTCCTCCTCTATCCCATTGCGCTTGTCATTTGCCCATTGCTTATCGTTGGCCTTTCGTTGGGTTCCCCCCGCCACACTTTGCTGTTTGCTGATCCGGCATCCCCCTTGCAGCGCCACACGAAGTAATCCCAGAACTCCACCACCACCTACCCACCGCAAGCAAGATGGGCAAACTCTTCCGAGAGTACCTGAACAACAGCTGCGTGTATTCGTGCTCCAACTGTCACACCCACCTGGCCGCAGAGGATGCCCTCGTCTCAAAGGTGTGGGTGGTACATATGGTCGGCACCGACTCCGGTTCTCGACATGTTCTCGTCTCCGCTCTTCGCCATATCCCCCTTGACCTACCTGTTGAATTGAGTTTCATCCGCCAAGAACCGATCATATGATGCCACACACACACACACACACACACACACACACACACACACACACACACACACACACACACACCCTCGTGCCTTTTATTGCCATGTGCCGTTTGTTTCTCCTCCATATCTCCTCCACTTCTCCTCACGGCTCGCCTCTTTCGTGTTTCCCCCCCCCCAACTTCATTGCTTCACTTCTCCCCGTTGCTGTTGCTCAGGCCTTCCAAGGGCGCCTCGGCCGTGCCTACCTCTTCAACGAAGTGTAAGTACACACGCATGCAAGCTGCTTGGTGCTCGTACATCCAACCTACCTCCCTTCCGCATCGCGGTGGTGCCATTGGAACTGGTTCCTGTGCTTTTCGGCGCGCTCACAACATGGGCTCATACATGTGCACGTTTGCTTTGTTGTATGTGTGTGTGCGTTTGTGTGCGCTTGTGTGCTTGCACACGCGCGTGTGGGTTTCAGGGTGAATATTGAATGCGGACCTGCAGAGGAAAAGATGCTCATGACGGGGCTTCACTCCATCCGCGATGTCCACTGCTCACATTGCCGCGCCTATCTCGGCTGGAAATACGTACGTTGTTATGGCTATGTGTGTGTGTGTGTGCGTGTGTAACACTACGTGTTTGCGTCCATGTGTGTTTGTTTATTTTGTGGTAAGTGAGACTGTTGCGCGATCAATCATCCTGTTGCTCGTCTTGTCTCACTCACTCACTCACTCACTCACGTTCTTACACACACATTCTTGCACTTGACAGGAGATGGCATTTGAGCAGGAACAGAAGTACAAAGTGGGCAAGGTCATCTTGGAGAAGGAGCACACACAAAAGGAAAACGGGTGGAGGTAGTCCTCTTGTTCCTTTTGTTCCTCGTGTCCTTGCCCCCTTGCTTGCATTGTCATTCTCTCTTCTTTCCTCTTGTCTCTTGTCTCTCCTCCTCTCTCGTGTTTCTTCTCTCTTTGTCGCTTCTCTCTCCTCTTCCTCTTTTCTCGTGCTTTTCTGACCTACGATATGGAAACCCTTCTCTCTCTCCCCCTCGCTTTATTGCGTTTTGATTCATCTTTCCTACTGCTGGCGGTGTACCATCTTCCCCTCCTATTCTCTACACGATCCTTCCTACTTGAGCACCCTTGCATCCGTACATATCAGCACCTCGCGCGTTGGTTGGCAGAAATGCAAGTATCTGATTTCTCTTCCCCCCGCCCCCGGCCGCAACAGCAACCGTTCACTTGCGTTCACTTGCGTTCACTTGCGTTCACTTGCGTTCACTTGCGTTCACTTGCGTTCACCTGCGTTCACCTGCGTTCACCTGCGTGCACTTGCGTTCCACTTCTTTCTTTTTCCTAATGGCCCCAGAGACAGTTGCACTGCATCCAACTGTTGTGGCGATGCCCGCCCATCTTGTTTTATTTCCTCATTTTGCGTTTGCTTGCCCCTTGCTGTTTTCGCTTGCTTGCTCGCTCGCTTGCTTCACGTGTGTGCCGTCCCCCGCCATCATCTCTCATCATGGTCAGACATGTACTGGGGTTTATTGGTTGGGCAGTGCACGTGTGGTTTTATTCGCGCTCTATGCGCCTTGCCGTGCGTTTGCAATGCCATTGAAAGCAACGACACCAACTCAAGTTATCAACAGCCAGCCAAGAACCAGCAACGAAACACACACACACACACACACACGCACACACACGCACACACACACACACACACACACACACAGTGGTCTGGAGTCGTTGGATGCTCGAGGGGATGGAGGATGGTTTTTAATCATATAATCTCACTCGTTGTGTGGCCAGGAAAAAGATAATGGCCGTGTACAGAAACACACATTGACCAGCAATGACCAACATGCACAACCACCCGGCCTCAGCGCCACCCAGACTACAGAGCAGAAGGAGCAAAGAACGAGGAAAAGGGAATAAGAAAGAACAAAGTCCCGCACACAAAGGCGCATCTCATGTCATGCCCAGCCAGGAGGGAGGCATGTGTTTCCTCCCTGTGGACAGGGGATGCCGGGTTTGATTACGACTGCTCCACGGCTTCATCCTTGAACTCATTCACGTGAACAAGCGTCTCTGTGGTCATGGTCTTGTGGACGGGGCACGAGTTGGCAATCTTCATGAGCTTCTTGCGGTGCTCGTCTGTGAGGTTGGCGCCCTCCAGCTCAACGTCCATCTCAATCACGTCCACCCTGCCGGACGTGGAGTGGCACTCGTCGCAGTCCTTGGCCCATGTGCGCCCGTGCTTCACAAACACGCGCGACCGCTCAAGTGGAATGTTCTCCCGCGTAGCATACATCCTGTGTGATGCGTGTGTGTGTGAGTGAGTGAGTGAGTGAGTGTGTGTGTGTGAGTGTGAGTGAGGGTGTGAGTGTGTGTGAGGGTGTGTGTGTGTGGGGGGGGGGGAGGGGGGCGGTTACATGAGCGGTTGGACCCGTCTGGAAACGTGTAGGAAAGTTACGGTTGGTTGGGTACACAGACAAGGCATCAATCGAGGTGCGTGCGTGTGTGATCGAGCGTGATCGATGGTAACTTTGTCTCAGCGGCGCCAGAGTAAAGCACAACCACACACACATGCACACACACATGCACACACACACACATGCACACACAGGTGACATGGATGGTACGAACCTCATGGTCATGTTGGTGCATGTGCCGAGGGCGGAGAGAAGGAAGCCGTATGGGTTCATGCCTGTGTCGCAGCCGCCGTCGAATGTGCCGGGCTCATCGGCGAGTGTCTCGTGGCGACCATCGCTAATCCGGTTCTGTTGCCAAGAAAGGGAGAATAGAAGGAGAGAATAGAAGGGAGGAAAGATGCGAGACAAGGGGGGGGGGGTGGGCATCAGGTGACAACAATCCATACGTACATATATGGAGGAGCAGAATGCATGGCGAATGCGTGGCGAATGCAAGGCGAATACAAGGCGAACGCACACGGTAGCGCGCATGTGCACACAGACACGGCAGTTGGCAAGCGCACCTACCTGGTAGCGGCTTGCGCCGGTTTCCTCGACGACAATCCAGCCCTCGCGAGCATGGGCGGACATGGTACGCTGGGTGGTTGACAGGCGGGAGGCGGCAGCGACAGCGGGGCGAACGCCAGCGGCGGCACGCGCAAACCGAGCAACGCGGAGCATCTTCGGAGGTTGTCAGGTGCGAGGAAAGGAAGGAAGCGAAAGTGTGCTGGCTGGCTGGAAGCGAGGTGGAAGCGAGGTGGGAGAAGAAGCAAAGCAATGTAGATGCGGATAGAAATGAAGCAAGGTTGTTGGCAGGCAATCGATCCACTCGCTTCTTGTCTTGTCCTCTCACCTGCAGAACGCCACAGACATGATGCCATCCATGACGAAAAGCGTTTCGTTCTGTTCTTGGAAAATTGGATAAAATCTTTGCGAACAATCGCGGGAGTGGCGAGCGATGACGCAATTGCCATGAGTGTTTGCTTTGCGTCATGTGAGATTGCGAGTTTGGGGAGATGCTTGTCGTTTTGTGTGCTTGTTCAGTGTGGTTGGCTCGCTGTGAAGGTTGGTGTGTTTGTTTGAGCTAACCTAATGTAACACACACACACACACACACACACACACACACACACACACACACACACACGTGCATGTCTCGTCTTGAGCGTGTTTTGTTTTTCATTGAAAGGAGGTCAAGAAATAACAAGAGGGAAGAACTCCGGCCAGCATCCACAACAGAACAGCCAGAGCACTAGAGCAAGACGGTCGTTGCAGGCAACTTCAATACAAGGCAAGCAAGCAACAGGCGTGGCACACTGCAACAAACATCAGTTGTGCGTGATACTGATACATTACACACCCACCCACACTCACGTACACAACAACAACACTCTCACCCCTGTCTGTCTCTCTCCTCAAGTGCCCCCACGCCCTCACACACGTCTTCACGGCAAGGGGAAAAAAAAAAAAGACTGGAACCTAAAGGGGAGCAAACGCAGAAACTACAAAGTAATGTCTTCCTCATAACGGGCGAGGAGAATGATCACGAGGAAGCCGACAGCAAACCCGCCGTTGGCAAGCAGCAGCGCTTTCTTGAAGGACGCTGCGCTGATGATGTAGTGGAGCACATGTGGGGTGATGTCGGACAGCGCAACATACAGGAAGAGGCCTGCGCCAGCCGCCAAGATCCACTGCTGCACCTCCTCTGTTGCCGACGCGGCGGTGCCGATAACGCCGCCCAGGATCGCCGTCATCTGCGAGAAGAAATTGTACACCAGCGCTCGCTTCACCGAGAACCCAGAGTCCAGCAGCACCGCAAAGTCGCCTGTGTGCGTGCACGGTTGTGTGGTTGTGTGTTTGTGAGTGAGTGAGTACAGGTTAATGCTTGTGAGTGAGTGCGTGCGTGCGTGCGTGTGTCAGTGCGGGTTCATGTGTGCATGCTCATGGGTTTGTGCGTGCGTGTGCACGCGCTCTTCATGGAAGAACAAGTGCCAGCGCATCTTGATCGCACGACCACAACGGCATACAGGAGCAGCGGTGTCGCACCAATTTCGTGTGGCACTTCATGCAGAAGAATGGCAATGGTGGTGCTGATGCCCACAGTCGTGCTGGCAGAGAACGCAGTGCCCAGCGCAAGCCCGTCCTGTCACACCACATGCACACATGCGCAGCAATTCATGAGTTTGTGGCACGTGTGTGTACATGTACATATGCGCTGAAACAGATACGAGGCGGCACCCAGGCAAGCACACACACACACACACACTCCTGCACAACACATTAATAAGATGCACGCCACAACAACAACAACAACAACAACAACAACAACAACAACAACAACAACAACAACAACAACAACAACCAACGTACCACAAAGTTGTGGATGGCATCGCCAAGGAGAATGAGCCAGCCGGTTGACCTCTGTGTGCCGTGGTGGTGGTGATGATGATGGTGGTCCTCGTGTCCACTGGTGTTGTGTGGCTTCTCACTGGCTTGCGTGCTGTGGTTGTGGCCGTTCATGGGCAGGATGGCATCTGTGCAGGTCGCAGTCAATGGCGTCGACAATCAATTATCAGGCACACGACAGACACGGTGAGCTGTGGAGTGCTTTGAGTGCTCCATGGCACACCCGGTCGAGACAAGCAAGAATGTGTCACCAGCGAGATAGGCATAATCACGCATGCACGCATGCACAAACACAAACAAACACACGCAGAACACAAACACAAACACAAACAAACGCACACAGAACACGCAGCACATGTGCTCGGCTGTGTTATCAGCCCGAAAACTAACGCGCACCGGTGGACTTGTCATTGAAGCTCGTCTCCTCACTAGCGGTCAGCGCGTCACCAATCGAAGACATGCGCTGCGATGGCCTGTGGGTCATGGTGGTGTCACGTTGGTGGTCAGCCCATGAAGTATGGAAGCAATGAAAGCGACGCACACACACACACACACACACACACACACACACACACACACACGAAGGTAACTGTAAAAACAGGCAATGAACTCACTCTGGGGAGCCGTGTGGGGAGTCTTCGTGGTGGCGGCCCTGGTGGTGCTCGTGTGCAATGCCGCCAATCAGCTTGGCAATGGCCACCTCAAGCATGAAGAACACGTAGAAGCCAACCAGCACAAGGCAGCCCTGTACCAAAGAGATGACGAAACGGAAGGCGTGAGCACATCTGGGAAGGGGTTTCAAGTCTCTGTGGTCAGTGTTGGCCGAAACGCTGCAACACTCCAACACAAACACAAAGACTCACATACGCAAAAACACAACACACAGCACACAGACCACACACACGCAGACGCACCTTCCAGATGAATTCGTAGGGGTCACCCTCCTCCTCGTGTGCATGCGCGCCTGTTTCTTCGTGCGCGTGGAGTCCAAAGGAGTGGGGGATGAGATGAAGAATGGCATCGCTGAACAGCGACGCAACCGCCATCGACATCATGAAAATCAGCACGTGCTGCAAACGCGACGGCAAAAGGAGAGAGAGAGAGAGAGAGAGAGAGAGAGAGAGAGAGAGAGAGAGAGAGAGAGAGAGAGAGAGAGAGAGAGAGAGAGAGAGAGAGAGAGAGAGAGAGAGAGAG